ATGGAAGTATGCAAATAACAAGACAATTCAAAAAGGGTTGTCACAAGCATAATGAACTGTTCCCAAAGAATCTCATAATGAACTTGAGAAAATTACATCCCTGTCTACAATCTAAAAATTGAAAGATCTATTTTGAATATAGGCTTTATTGTCGTTGAGATGCAAAACTGTCCTAAATTGCACTATCTTTTTTGTTAAAGTGTATATATGTAACTCCTACACTAACACTAAAAAATACACTATAAATATTTAAAGGAAAATAACCATTAATTTTTGTTTTTACAATAGAGACATCTTGACCAGAAGCAATGCAATGACAAGCAAATTAGAAAAATTAGATAACAAGCACTTCATTCAATATCATTATCTATATTATTTCTCAACTTATGTTGTCAACTTATATTATTTGTCAAATTATATTCTTGATATACACACATGGGTTAAAATCAGGAAAGAATACATTGTTTATCTAATCATTAGTATATTCCTCAGATGATTTTTCAAGACTGAATGTTCGAGTCAATCATTGCTTGCACATATAAGATTGTTGGCATGAAAATGAGGTTGAGGTTTAGGTGGAGAAAGTTCACCATGAGTATTGTGAGTCACCTGAACGTTGTTTATTTACACGTAATGAAAACTACAAAATTGGCAGTAAAATAAATAACAGTAGAGGTCATTTTTAAAAAATAGGGTGTACTGGGAGGTGGGGAGAAAGAAACGTAGAGGGCGGGAGCAGCCAAGTTGACCAAATAGAAACAGCTCCATTCTGCGGCTCCCACCAAGAAGGATGAAAAGAGCAAGTGAATTCTGCATCTTCAATTGAGGTACCAAGCTTCTCTCACTGGGACTGACTAGGTGGTTGGTGCAACCCAGGGAAAGCAAGGAAAAGCATCAAGGGCCCACCCAAGAGCTGCATGGGCAAAGGAAGCTTTCTCCCTGGGCCAAAGGAGGTGGTGCAGGATTGTGCTACCCATCCCTGAAAACCATGCTTTTCTCATGGATCCTTGCAACCCACAGATCAGGAGTTCCCCTTGCAAGCCCACGCTACCAGGGCCTTGCATCCCAAGCACAGAACTGTAAAGACATGGCAGCTGCTTGGGTGGCTGGCCATTTGAGCAGGCACCAAGACACAGAGTATTTGCATACTCCAGCTCTGGGAACTCCCATGAGGCAGTATATCTGTCCACTCCTGTGGGAAGGGGGCTGAAGCCAGGGAGCCAAGGGGCCTCGCTTCCACAGAACCCCACAAGCTAAAACACACTGGCTTGGAATCCCTGCCAGCCAACACAGCAGGCCAGAGACTGCCTAAGAAGACTTAATTCCCAGGGCAGGAGGGGCGGCCACCATCACTGCGGCTCCATTTGGCCATTGTCCCCTGCTGTAGGTGCCAGTGAGACTGGGTGGTCAGGACTAGGAGCAATTCCCCACAGCGCAGCACAGCAGCTGTGTCAGTTCATGGCTAGACTGCTTCCTTAAGTGGAACCCTGATCCATTTCTTATCACTGAGACAGGCCTCTCTGTGGGAATTTCAGCATCCCTAGACAGGAGTTCATGAACAGAACTTTGATATCCCTGAGAGGAGTCACTAGGAGAAGGGGCAGCTGTGATATAATGGATCCGTGGTCTTTGTCTTTTCTACCTGCTGGCTCTGGAGAGTCAGGGGAGCCCAGATGAGGGTGCAGCACACCTCCTCCACCAAGGGGCAGCCAGACTGCTCGTTTAAGCGGGTCCCTGATCCCACTCCTCCTGACTAGATGAGACCTCCCAACAGGAGTCCCCAGATACCTCATACAGGAGAATTCCAGCTGGCATCAGGTTGGTGCCCCTCTGGGATACAGCTCCCAGAGGTAGGAGCTGGCTGCCATCTGTGCTGGTCTGTAGCCTCTGCTGGTGATACCTCCAGGGGTGGGAGGGGCCCAGGCAAATAGGGTCTCGAGTGGACCCCCAGCAAACTGCAACAGCCCTACAGAAGAGGGGCCTGACTGCTAAAAGAAAAACAGAAAACAACATCAATGAAAAGGACCCCACAAAAAACCCATACAAAGGTCAGCAACCTCGAGATCAAAGGTAGATAAACTCATGACGATGAGAAAGAATCAACACAAAAATGCTGAAAACTGAAAAAGCCAGAGTGCCTTTTCCCTCCAAATGATGGCAATATGTCTCCAGCAAGGCACAGAACTGGGCTGAGGCTGAGATGGATGAATTGACAGAAGTAGGCTTCAGAAGACGGGCAATAATGAACTTCACTGAGCTAAAGAATTATGTTCTAACATATTGCAAAGAAGCTAAGAACCATGATAAAAAACATTACAGGAGCTGTTTACCAAAATAACTAGTATAGAGAGGAATATAAATGACCTGATTGAGCTGAAAAACACAACACAAGAACTTCACAATGCAATAACAAGCATCAATAGCCAAAGAGACCAAGCAGAAGAAAGGGTATCAGAGCTTAAAGACTATCTTGCTGAAATAAGGCAGACAAGAGTAGAGGAAAAAAAGAATGAAAAGGAATGAACAAAACCTCTGAGAACTGTGCGATTATGTTAAAAAATCAAACCTATGACTGATAGGAGTACCCGAAAGAGACAGAGAGAATGGAACCAAGTTGGAAAACACACTTCAGGATATCATCCAGAACCTCCTCAACCTAGCAAGACAGGCCAATGTTCAAATTCAGGAAACCCAGATAACCCCAGTAAGATACTCCATGAGAAGATCAAGCAAAAGACACATAATCGTCAGATTCTCCAGGGCCAAAATGAAGGAAAAAGTGTTAAGGGCAGCCAGAGAGAAAGGCCAGGTCACCTATAAAGGGAAGCCCATCAGACAGCAGATCTCTTCAGACACCATACAAGCCAGAAGAGAGTGGGGGCCAATATTTGACTTTCTTAAAATAATTTCCAACCTAGAATTTAGTATCTGGTCAAACTCAGCTTCATAAATGAAGGAGAAATAAAATGATTTTCAGACAAGCAAATGCTGAGGGAATTCATCACCACCAGGCCTGCCTTGCAAGCACTCCTGAAGGAAGCACTAAATATGGAAAGGAAAAACCATTACCAGCCACTACAAAAACACACTGAAGTACACAGACCAGTGACAATATGAGGCAACTACATAAACAAGTCTGCAAAATATAACCAGCTAGTAATATGATGACAGGATCAAATTGATGCATAACAATATTAACCTTAAATGTAAATAGGCTAAATGCCCCAATTAAAAGATGCAGAGTGGCAGGCTGGATAGAGTCAAGATTCATTGGTGTGCTGTATTCAAGAGACCCATCTCACATGCAAAGACACACATAGACTCAATCCCATTACTGGGTATATACCCAAAGGAATATAAATCATTCTGTTACAAAGACACATGCATGTGTATGTTCATTGCAGCACTATTTACAATCACAAAGACATGCAATCAACCCAGATGCCCATCAATGATAGACCGGATAAAGAAAATGTGGTACTTATACACCATGAAATACTATACAGTCATAAAAAGGAATGGGATCATGTCCTTTGTAGGGACATGGATGGAGTTGGAAGCCATTATCCTCAGCAAACTAACAGTAACAGAAAACCAAACACTGCGTGTTCTCACTTATAAGTGGGAGCTGAACAATCAAAACACATGGACACAGGAAAGGGAACCACACACACTGGGGCCTGTTGGGGGGTGGGAGGTGTGGTTGGGGGCGGTGGAGTATTAGGAAAAATAGCAAATGTATGCTGGGCTTAATACCTAGGTGATGGGTTGATAGGTGCAGTAAACCACCATGGCACACGTTTACCTATGTAACAAACCTTCAGAACTTGCATCTGTGCCCCAGAACTTAAAATTTAAAAAAAAGAAAAGAAGAAGAAAGAAACTTGGAAGAATGGATCCGAGACCTTGCACCATATGCCTCATGTAATTTGATCTTGCATCAAGAAGTCACTGATCTTGACTTATGCTTCATTGAGAGCCTTACTTTATCTCATAAACATCTTTGGTAGCATCCCATACACTGCTCCTCAGTGACTGGCTGTTCTGACACCACTTAAAGCAGAAATCTGTTCATGTGCATTTATTTTATGTGAATCACAATTTTGAAATAGTTGTGACCCAGAAAAGTAGATTTCTTCTGTTTCAAGCCTAATGTGAGGTAGCAGTCCATTTTTCAGAATAGAAATGTGACAGTCTCAATGCTGTAGTACTTTGTCAGTTATCTGAGGTTGAGAACTACTTTTTCATTATAAATTATATTTCACATTATTATATTGAAACTAATATATTATGGAGGTAAGTGAAACCTTCTTATTAAATTTTCACATAGAACCTGGACTTAGAAAGAATGCTTTCGCTTGCCTTATGCCAGAGGTTTGCAGAAGATATATCAAGTTGAAAAATTTTTCTGTATTACAGCACTGATATTGAAGACCATTCTCATCAAGCTATGAATTATGTAATAATCAGATCCACTGATGACATATATTTATTTAATATATACCATAAAATCTTGGTGTTTTAGAATTTATATGCTTTCTTTTCCCAAATATCAGAACTGAATAATCTAGTATATTCTCTTTAACTTTACATTCTAGGAAGTTCAGAGTTAAATTCCATAAAGTCTTTATTTTTAATAATTTTGAATTACCGTGTTTCATATATTTCAATTTTCCAAGCCAAACAAGTTCTCTTTGGAAGTAAATGGTTTATACTATGGACATGTTCTGGCAGCATACCTTTAATTTTCACTTACTTAGATGAAATGTAGATGAATCATATTTTTGGAACTACAGGTTTTGCCCTTTCATCCTTCACCCCCAAACCTAATATGACCTTATACAAATTATGTTTGATGGGAACCTTCAATGAGAATTATAGCAAAATATTTGTTTTCCTATTATCTTCTGAATGGCCCAATACTAGATTTGAACTCAAGACTAAATAATTTTTGAAAAAGGAATTAGCAGTGATTTATAAAGTTACTATTTTTTTTGCAGCAAAGCTAGAGAAGATCTGCTGAAAATTCAGAAAGAGCGTGATTTTCATCGAATGCATCACAAGCGAATAGTCCAGGAAAAAAACAAATTAATCAATGACCTCAAAGGGTAAGCTTATATTTGTTGGACTATTTATTAAAGAGTTATTTAATACATGTTAAGTAATTTGATTATGACAGAAAGTTTTAGACAAAGTTATTAGTTCCACATTTATTGAGCATAAGATGAGTAAGTTGCGGCCCTTGCTGTCAAGGGTCTCAGAAACTATTTGTGTGTGTGAAGTGGGAGGAGTTAAGCAGAAATATACTGAAATACACTGCATTGTTGCTATGCCACCCAAGAGGGCCATCATCCCAATAAGATTGGAGTGTGAGATGACTCAAGGATTTATTTCCACAGGAATTAAATTCTCAAGTACAAGTAAGAGTAGACAGTGAGGAAGTGGGGTCAGCACAGTGCTGTTGGCAGATAGTACATCCTCTGCAAATGTGCCAAGACATGAAAAAACATGGTATGTTCATCAAATTGTATGCAAAGAGAGTGAAGTGCAGCTGTGGTATTGCAGGGATAGGGGACATATCTCTAAATGACTATGAATTTAAAAGTCTTTTATAAATTATTTTGAAGACATTATTGAGATTTACTTTCTCTCCTTCTTTACCTTCCTCCCCTACAAAAACAAGTAAAGAAATTTACAATCCTTAAATAAAATTCTATTTGCTTGCTCTAAGGCAGTGCTATCCAACAGAACTTTTCTTGATGATATACTCTATATCTGTACTGTCCAATACAATAGCCCCTAACCATTTATGTTTAAAAATATACCATACTTCTTCAAATTCCTAATACGTTTAAAGAGAATACTTTTCATATAAAATTAATCACTTTAGATTATATGTTTTTTCATATTTCATTATTTCAGGCACCCTTGTAAAGAAGCACACATTACTTTGTAATATAGCTACACTTGGTCTATACTCAGATAGCCTTTATTTCTTCATTTAATCATTAAGAAAAACATCTCCATTTAGGAATCTGGATGAATCACTAAAGCGCATTTTATAAAGACCTAAAACAAAACTTCAGTGATGCCATCAAGTCACAAAAAAGCTGGGCATCAAGTTAACCAGTCAAACACAGTGAATACTTTGCCTGATAGCTGTGCTATTGCATAATAAATCAGCTATAGGATAGAGTGTTTTTGATGCCAGGCAAAGTTGGGGTCTGAGATCTCTTATGTCATATTTTATCCAAATACATTAATAGTGTATCCATATTTCCTTTCATTGTAAAACATTAAGTGTTTACCTTACTTTTTCTGTAAATTTTTCAACTAGTTTGATAATAAATTTTATAGTATTTCTTTTTTGTTTGTTTGTTGTTTTGTTTTGCTTTTTAGAGTCAGAGTCTCATTCTGTCACCCATGGTAGAATGCAGTGGTGAGATTAAGGCATCCTGTAGCCTCCAACTCCTGGGTTCAAGCAATCCTTCCACCTCAGCCTTCTGAGTAGCTGAGTCTACAGGTGCATGCCACCATACCCAGCTAAATTTTTTTATGTTTTAATTTTTTTGTAGCGATGTTTTTTCTTTGTTACATTCTAGTGAAATTCTATGTGTTGTTAATTCTTTTAACAGAAGATAGTCAAGCCATATCTCATGAATGAGTTAAATTCCAAAGTTAGTAAAAAAAGGGAAATTTTGCCATCAATATTTTCTTTAAAATTCTTCAACCATCCACAGATTACAGTGTACATGGTTGTGTGTATACAATTCTATATCTGTGTGTTTTATGTATTTAGACATATGTAATGTTTATGGAGATTATAGTATACACCAAAGTATATATATGTATGTGTGTATTTATATACACACATACATACACACACACACGAAGCTAATCAGAACGGAGGATAGAACTGTATGTACTACCTAAATTTTTATTTTTATTACTCTTTCTGAATGTCGTATTAATACACATTAAATGTATATAAAATGCAACTGCACTTTAATACTTAATTTCTATTGCTATCATCAATGAGGTATAATGTGATATCCAAATTAATGACTTTTATAAATATTATAGAAATTGAAAATGTTATAGAACATTATGAAATATTATAGAAAATGAAAAGCTCTGTTTCAATTATTAATGAAATAAAATATTATTCTTTTGGAGGACTTTTAGGGAATTTCTGCTTTGCACTATGCCATTGTAAATAGTATAGAATTAGCTCTCCAACTAGTACTAAACTAGCTCCCCAAATGTAAGGAACTATAAGACTGGACAAAATACATGAGGCAGTTTTTTTTTTTTTAAGTTGGTGGAAAATTGGCAAAGCAGGACCTTGATGCCTAAGAGAAGACAAACACAAAATGAGCAGGATGTTCACCCCACATATCTTCCTGAAGGTACTTTTCAGCCCACAGTTTGACCAGATATAACCCAAGCAGAGCATGGTGGTTTTCGGAGCTGAGGAGGCAGAGATCAGAGTTCAGGGCTGCAGAGGTAGCTGAAACTTGCAGCATGGTGTACACAGAAGGAAGGAGGTACATGAAATGTAGCTTAAGAAATATCTATAATGGTTCTCTTCAGTCTTTGGCCACGTAACTAACTTGTGGAAGTATAAGATGAGAGAATACGAAACCTGGCAGGAAACAGCACCTGGGAAGCTATGAGCAAAATAGAGATTCCAGAGGTTGCAGAGTGCTGGGAGATGTAGGAGTACTGATCAGCCATAAGGGAAGGAACATCACTGAATACTCTGAACATTTACTTAATATCCTCCACAAGCCATGCCATAGAAGCAGACCTAGTTGGTCCTAGAGAAAATGCTGCTTTAGACTTTTTCTCCAAAAAGCTTAAAGGTATAAGCTTTGAAAAACTCAACTGATTCACTGGGAAATTAATTGTCTGTCAGAAAATAACTCTTTAAAGGAAGAAAACAAAATTCAGACAAGTGTATGTCCAACATACAATAAATAAATAAAGTTTATATGGATTGATCTATCTATAAATATATCTAGAAGCAGGAAGATATGTCCTATAATCAGGAAAAAGCAGAAGCAGACACAGAGAAAAGAGAATTACAGATTTAGCAGACAGGGACTTTAAAACAGTTATTATGAAATGCTTAGAGTTTTAAAGAAAATGGTGCCTATAGGAGTGATAAACAGAATTAAACTGAAATTTGAGAACTGAAAAAAACATAATGTGCGAATGAAAAATTTACTAGTAGGTCTTGGAAGATTGGACATTGCCAATGGAAAGATCAATGAACATGAAGACAGGAAGATGGAAAATGATCCAACTGGTGCTCAAAGAGAAAAAAGCTGAAAAGAAATGAGCAGAGACTCAAAGAAAAAAGACTGAAAAAACATAAACAGAACTTCTGGAACAATATCAAATAGTCCATCATAGGTGTATTTGAAATCCAAGAAGAGGCTGGGCATAACCTTCCCCATTCTGCTAGCTTATTCCAATTATTAAGTATACAAATTCAAATTAGTTACTCAGGAAGACTGGAACTGATCACTGGGTGCTTACATGAACCAAATATGCTGTGAGCAGACTTTAGCCAGGACCCTACTTATTTCCTGTCCCTTACAGACTCCCATTCTAACAGGGGGGTCATGCTTTTGCTTTAAGTTTCTGAATTTGAACGACAAATTCTTAAAAATATCTTTCCCCAGTAAATAGCCACTCGATTAAATAGCCAGGGGTAATTTGCAGAAAAATTGAGGCTATTTATAACAGTATATAATTGCTATGGTGTTATGGAGTGCTTCCTCTACTGTCTGCTAAGGTAGCTCCAGCATTTCTACTTCACAGTGTTGGCTATCTTTTTCCAAGTTTCTAAGGACCACCCTAGAAGTGAATCTACCTTATTCGCTGGAGTTCTTACTATAATGTTAAATCCATTGTGTGGAGGTCAAGGAATTATTGTTTATCCAGTCTTGCATTCCACCCCCCTTTAATCAAGTACCTCAAAATCCAGCCTCTGGGGGTACTTTTCTGGTTCCTGCCAGTACATGCTGACTATTTTTTGCAGCAGTTTAGATGTATAGTCTCTTTCCTCCGTAATCACACTGAGGAGAGGAGGTAGGGATACTTCCAGCGGTGGGGCCGGGGTGGGGACATCTCTTTCTTTGTGGGGAAGAGGGCTTTTCAGCATCTTGCAGCACAGCTGAAGTACTACTTCTTTGTAGGAAATGGGGCCCACCTCTGTAAGCCCATAGGGCTACAGAAAAACATTCTCAGGGGCATCCTGAGAACCAGAGAAGAAGACAGAGACATTTCATACATTTCATGTAATAAAGAGTCAGTTCACCTGGAAGACATAATATTAAATATGCATTACTGTAATATAAGAGCTTCAAAATACATGAAGCAAACTCTGATAAAATTGAAAGGAAAAATAGATATTTCCTTAGTTATACTTAGGATTTTAACACTCAGTATTAGAAAGTGTAGGAAGAAATATACATAGATGTATTTGACATCCAAGAAGGGGCTGGGGATAACCTTCCCCATTCTGCTAGCTTATTCCAATTGCCAAGCATATCAATTCCAATTATTTATTCAGGAACACTGGAATTGATCACTGGCTGGGTACATGGACCAAATATGCTGTGAGCCAGGACCCTATTTATTTCCTGGCCCTTACAGACTCCCATTCCAACAGAGGGGACCAGATATAGCCTAAGCAGAGCATGGTGATTTTCGGAGCTGAAGAGGCAGAGATCAGAGTTCAGGGCTATAAAGGTAGCTGGAACTTGCAGCATGGTGTACACAGAACGAAGGAGGTATGTGAAATGTAAGAAATATCTGCAATAGTCTTTTTCAATCTTTGGCCTCATAACTAACTTGTGGAAGTATAGGATGAGAGAACACAAAGCCTGGCAGGAAACAGTGCCTGGGAAGCTCTGAGCAAAACAGAGATTCCAGAGGTTGTGTAGAAGAGTGCTGTCAATCAACTGAGCATAGTTAACATTTCTTGACTTCTACTTGGCTCTTTCCAGTTCACATGGAATTGTCACTAAAATAGATCATATACTGAACCGTAAAACAAGTCTCCATACATTTCAAAGGACTGATGTCATGCAAAGAATGTTTTCTGACCAAAATCAAATTAAATTAGAAATCAATATTGAAAAACCTCAGGGGGTTTCTCAAATATTTGGAAATTAAGTAGTATGCCTTAAATAGTCCATGAGGCAAATAAAGAAATTAGAGAATAGTTTGAACTGAATGATTAAAAATGCAGCATATTGAAATGCAGCCAATGCAGCTTAAATTGAAATTGATAGCTTTAAATGCTTATTTTAGAAAATAAAGTTTTAAAACCAATGATGTCATCTTAGAAGCTTAAAAAGAGCAAACTACAACCAAGAAACATGAAGAAATGAAAAATAAGAGCTGAAATCAATAAAATAGCAAATGGACAAACAAAAAATCAACAAAGTTAGATGTTGGTTAATGGAAAATATAATAAAGCTGACAAATTTGATAATAAGATGGATAAACTCTCATTAGACTGATGTCGCCAGAGGTTGGCAAGAATGTAGAGCAACCAGGACTGTCATATAGGGTTGCTGGTAGTATAAATTACAATCCAGCAATTAAACTTCTGGGTATTTATCTAAAATAAATGAAGATATATGATCAAAAAATCTTACATGACTTATATAAGAATGTTTAAAGAGGCCTTATTCATGATAGCCCAAACTAAAATCCACTCAGGTTTTCTTCAGCAAAATATTGGATAACCACATTTACATACAAGGGGATACTACTCACAGTAAAGAGGAGTGAAGTATTGTGATGTAAAGTAATAAGAATAATCTAAAGAAACATTATGCTGAGTGAAATAAACTAGTTAAAAAAGAGAACATGTTATATGTTACCAAATACGTGAAGTTCTAGAATTTTCTGGGGTGTTAGACATGTTTCATATTTTGATAATGTGTACTACTTGGGTGTGCATTTCTCAAAACTCTGAACAGTAACGCTTAAGAGCTGTATGTTTTATCCATGTAAATTACACTTCAATAAAAAGATTTTGAGGTCATTTTCAAATAAAACAGATTTTTAAAGGTATTTACATTATATACTAGGCTGAACTATTCCTTCTGTTTAGGTATCAAAATGTTTTTATACTTAATTTTTAAAATAGAAGATTAGCCAAACTTGTTTTGAAGACCATCCTTTAGTTTATTTTGATGTGAATGACACTCCATGTTTAATCATCTATTATTTGTGGCCCTTGTCTTTCTGGCAGTCATTTCCAAATTAACAAAAGGAATTGCATTTTAAAAAATTTCATGGGTAGCAGCAATATTCTGAGTACATACTTGGATACAGCAAAAGGTACTAGTAGGAAATAGAGAACTAATTAAGACGTGATTTGCTCCCTCAGTGCACCCTCCACCCTCAAGTTGCAGTGAATTTGTGTGCTTTTTGTGCTTCTTGGCTGTAGTGTGTTAACCTTTATGAGGTTATTTATTTTTATTTCACAGCAAAAAAAAAAAAGAAAAAAAGGTTTCGATGTTAGATGGAAATTACTGATTTAACTCAATAACCCCTTAAGATACTATTGACTTTTTATTTTTTATAGGTTGAAGTTACATTATGCGTCTTATGAACCAACTATAAGGGTGTTACATGAGAAACACCACACTTTACTGAAGGAGAAAATGCTGACCTCCTTGGAAAGAGACAAAGTAGTTGGGCAGGTAAAGATACAGTCAAAGCTAACTTAAAATGATCTTTTAATCATTTTTTTAAAATAATACAAGTAGAAATACTGGTTTTGTTTCTGAGATTAATTTTAAAACATTTTCAACCAACTTTCATGTAAGAGAGATCCATTTGGAAACATTCAGAAAAAGTATTTATCCATTTAACTACATATAAAGATTATTATAAAATTAGGCCAGCCTGGTGGCTCATGCCTGTAATCCCAGCACTTTGGGAGACCAAGGTAGGTGGATCACTTGAGGCCAGGAGTTTAAGACCAGCCTGGCCAATATGGTGAAACCCTGTCTCTACTAAAAATACCAAAGAAGAAAAAAATAACCGGGTGTGGTGGCACAGGCCTGTAATCCCAGCTACTTGGGAGACTGAGGCATGAGAATTGTTTGAACCTGGGAGGCAGAGGTTGCAGTGAACAGAGATGGCTCCATACCACTGCACTCCAGCCTAGGCAACAGAGTGAGACAGTGTCTCAAAAAAAAATTAAATTAAATGTCATTTAATTGAGACATAAATTTATAGCAGATTATTAAATTGTAGATTGAAGAAAAAACTTAGCTATTGTGGTCAAACTTGGGTTTAAATGCCAGCTTTGACAGCTATAAACGTTAACCTTAGGAGAGTTATTTAAACAAATTGGAGCTCAGATTTCTCATATATAAAATGTAGCTGCAAAGACCAAAGACATTACCTTTTAAGATTGCTGTGAAACTTACATGAGATATTTTAATAAATAAAAACTCCCTCCTAGGTACTGACTCAAGTCTTTTGTAATTTTTGCTGATGGGTGACATCCTTTTAGGGTTTTTGTATAGGCCTAGACCTAGGGTAGTGGGTGAGATACCTTTGGCATAAAAATTTAAGAAAAAGAAACAAAATGTTTATATGCCACTTTAAAACCATTTAACAATTTTTTTGGAATATGTAAAACTGCAACTATGCTTAACATTCTATTATTGTTTTCTGGAGATTTTCATTTTTGGCCAAACATTCAGAAGCTACAAAAGCTTACATGATGATAATACTCTTTTGAATAATTTTATTGTTAAGACATGCTTTAATCAAGTTTATTTTGTCTTTTGAGTGAAATTCTTAGCAACGAAAATGCAAAACATCATTGTCTTGATGCCCCTTGTGCTTGAATTTAATTTTGTGGTTTGAATGTTTGAATTTTAAGTAATATTGAATACAATGATCATATGATTTGGCTGTGTCCCCATCCAAAGCTCACCTTGAATTGTAATAATCCCCACGTGTCAAGGGCGGGACCAGGTGGAGGTAACTGAATCATGGAGGTGGTTTCTCCCATGCTGTTCTCATGATAATGAGTGAGTCTCACGAGATCTGATGGTTGTATAAGCGTCTGGCATTTCTTTTGCTTGCACTCATTCTCTTTCCTGCTGCCTTGTGAAGAGGTGTCTTCTACCATGATTGTAAATTTCCTGAGGACTCCCCAGCCATGTGGAACTTGAGCCAATTAAACATCTATTCTTTATAAAATATCCAGTCTCGAGTATTTCCTCATAGTGGTGTGAGAATGAACTAATACAAATGAGTTTAACAATGTTTTAAATTTTATGGCATTATAATCAAACCTTCAGAATTTCATACCCTTGCTTCTTTTCATCTAATCTGTCTTCCCCAGTCTCCTAACAAAAGGCTTTATTCTATATCCTGAGGTATTAGGAGCTAGATTCAGATCTCTTACTATTTCCTCTTCCAGATGGGCCATGCTTGAATTTTTGCTACCCATCTTACTCTCTTTAGTCCTCCTGGTCTCATGCTTATCTCCTATATACCATGTACAATATTTGTGTTTCAAGTTGCTCCTTGATGGTTTAGTGGAAAGAGCTAAGGACTGGGAATGGCTGGTATGAATTCCAGTTGTGTTATAAAACAGCCAAGTGAGGATTCGGGTTATTTAAATATGTCTTTTTACTCACTTATTAAATAGGGATAAATTATTTGCCTTATGATTGATATGTGTATAAGATTAAAACATGTTTAAAAAGTTAAAATCATTTGATCTATGAGTTAAAGTTGAATTTTTCACACTACTGTTCAGATTTGCAAAGAAATATATCTTTATTATCTGCAACTGGTTTTGTCTTTGAACTCCTACTCCTGCTGAAGACAAAATAAAAGATAACCTGCATATTAAAGACTATTCCAGTCTTTATGAGTTAAACCAGTGTCTTTGGGTTTAACACAGGGTGTTTGAATATTATATTAACTGAATGTTTAGCTAAAACATAGTTATTAGTGCTCATTTTCTTCCTTCAAATGGCATGCCCTTTTTATTCTTCCCTAGATGGTTCCTAGTAAAAAAGTTACTTATCTATCCATATAGTTTAAAGTCTACAGGCTATATTCACTCTCCAGAGTACTGTGACTTGTTTGATTAGGTTGGTGGTGTCCAGGTACATGATAGCTGGATAGTTCTGGATAGCTCCTGGATAGTTCCAGGGTAGTTCTTTTGTATGTGAACCCAACACACCTTGCTAAATCCATGGCCTCTGCCACAATATCTGTGAACTCCTTTATATCTGTGACCTCATTATCCTAACCCTAGTTTTTTTTCTGCTCTAGTACATCAAATATTAACATTTCCGTGTGTCCCACTGAGGTGGTTGAGGCTTCTGATTTCTCTATATTGCAAATACAAGCCATGAGCAATTTGGAAACCAGTTAGGGTCCATCTACACAGATATACCTTTCTCAGTCCATTTTCAACATCACCTGGAGAGTAGTATGTTTTTCTAGCACAATGTAAAATATGAAGGAGTCTTTAAGGGGTTGTCAATTTTCCTAGGCTATTGCCTGAAAAGCTAAGAGCAAGTGTACTTAAATTCTTGGAGTATCTCTAGACTATCTGGCTTTATTTGCCCTTCATTTCCAGCTGGCCCCACTTACATTTTTCACTTGGTAGATAAACCACGACTCATGTCTGACCTATTGTTACCTCATCCCTCAGGCATCTCGTCCGTCACTCAGGCACAGAACTCTTTTCACTTCTTTGTTCTATTGGATGAAATATCTCCCTATCTTCTTTTATGTTACAGGATGTTCTATGTCCTCGTTTGTTCCAGCAATCCTGATTTACACCCATTTGCACAGGGTAATTTTTAATAAATTTAACTTTCACCCTAAAAATATCCCAATTTGGAAAATCTTTATTAATGGGAAATTTTTTTTTTAACTTTAAGTTCTAGGGTACATGTACACAATGTACAGGTTTGTTACATAGGTATACATGTGCCACATTGGTTTGCTACACCCATCAACTCGTCATTTACATTAGGTATTTCTTTTAATGCTATCCCTCTCCCAGCCCCACATCCCATGACAGGCCCCGGTGTGTGATGCTCCCTGCCCTGTGTCCATGTGTTCTCATTTTTCAATTCCCATCTATGAGTGAGAACATGCGATGTTTGGTTTTCTGTCCCTGTGATAGTTTGCTGAGCATGATGGTTTCCACCTTCATCCATGTTCATGTCAAAGGACATGAACTCATCCTTTTTTATGGCAGCATAGTATTCCATGATGTATATGTGCCACACTTTCTTAATCCAGTCTATCATTGATGGACGTTTGGGTTGGTTCCAAGTCTTCGCTGTTGTAAATAGTGCTGCAATAAACATACGTGTGCATGTGTCTTCATCGTAGCATCATTTATAATCCTTTGGGTATATACCCCGTAATGGAATCACTGGGTCAAATGATATTTCTGGTTCTAGATCCTTGAGGAATCACCACACTGTCTTCCACAATGGTTGAATTAATTTACACTTCCAACAGTGTAAACGTGTTCCTATTTCTCCACATCCTCTCCAGCATCTGTTGTTTCCTGACTTTTTAATGATCGCCATTCTAATTGACATGAGATGGTATCTCATTGTAGTTTTGATTTCCATTTCTCTGATCACCAGTGATGATGAGCATTTTTTCATGTTTCTGTTGGCTGCTTTATGCCTTCTTTTGAGAAGTGTCTGTTCATATATTTTACCCACCTTTTGATGAGGTAGTTTGTTTTTTTCTTGTAAATTTGTTGAAGTTATTTGTAGATTCTGGATATTAGCCCTTTGTCAGATGGGTAGATTGCAAAAATTTTCTCCCATTCTGTAGGTTGCCTGTTCACTCTGATGGTAGTTTCTTTTGCTGTGCAGAAGCTCTTTAGTTTAATTAAATCCCATTTGTCTATTTTGGCTTTTGTTGCCATTGCTTTTGGTGTTTCAGTCACGAAGTCTTTGCCCGTGCCTATGTCCTAAATGGTATTGCCTAGGTTTTCTTCTTGGGTTTTATGGTTTTAGGCCTTATATTTATGTCTTTAATCCATCTTGAATTAATTTTTGTGTAAGGTGTAAGGAAGGGATCCAGTTTCAGCTTTCTACATATGGCTAGCCAGTTTTCCCAGTACCATTTATCAAATAGGGAATCCTTTCCCCATTTCTTGCTTTTGTCAGGTTTGTTAAAGATCAGATTATTGTAGATGTGTGGTGTTATTTCTGAGGCCTCTGTTCTGTTCCATTGGTCTATATATCTGTTTTGTTACCGGTACCTTGCTGTTTTGGTTACTGTAGCCTTGTAGTATAGTTTGAAGTCAGGGAGCCTGATGCCTCCAGCTTTGTTCTTTTTGCTTAGGATTGTCTTGGCTATGCAGGCTCTTTTTTGGTTCCATACGAACTTTAAAGTAGTTTTTTCTAATTTTGTGAAGAAACTCGTTGGTAGCTTAATGGGAATGGCATTGAATCTATAAATTACCTTGGACAGTATGGCCATTTTCAAGATGTTGATTCTTCCTATACATGAGCATGGAATGTTCTTCCATTTGTTTGTGTCTTTTATTTCATCTTTTATTTCACTGAGCAGTGGTTTGTAGTTCTCCTTGAAGAGGTCCTTCACATCTTTTGTAAGCTGGATTCCTAGGTGTTTTATTCTCTTTGTACCAATTGTGAATGGGAGTTCACTCATGATTTGGCCC